TCGATGTTATGAACAACGCAAGGCGGACATGGCATATCGCTCTCGGGCCCACAGACAGACATCCCGCACACTCGCGCGCCCCACCCCGGCCGGGAGAAAGGGGAGTGACAGTTTGGGATTGAAAGCCGAGAACCTCGCACTCCATGTGCGAGAACGCAGGACTTCGTGTGGTATCTGGTATCCGTCCGTGATATATATATGTACAGGCAGGATACAGCACTCAAAAGGTCACTCTGTGGACCACTGAGCACTGTGCAAATCCATATGTTTTGGGCGAACATCACAATTCGGGGCGGAAAAGCGCCCCTGGAGGGGGACGCTAAGTAGAGCAGCCCAACAAAGGGCTTCACGCGCCGGAAAATCCGTGGTAACAAAAAGTTTGTAGGAGCCGGGTTTGGTTAGCAGCCCCGTGCACGAGGGATAGCGAATCAATGGGCGGCTGCTGCGAGAAGAGCAGGGGCACAGCGGCGGTGAGGGTGGGCTGGGACGAGCTCGGAGGCGCGGAGCTTGAGCCTGTGCTCCTGTCTGGCGCAATCGCGCTGCTCGACGCGCATTGGCTGATTCGCCTCGCTGGGGCAGGCGGCGTGCCTCATCCGCGTCAGTGCCTGCCTCCCGAGGCATTCTTGTCTGCCGATGAGGTTGCGACCTCAGCGATCCGCGGCCTGCCCATTGTGTGCGTGTCTCACGCCTGGTGCACGCCGCACCACCCAGACCCAGACGGGGAGAGCCTGCGCGCCTTGGCCCGCACGCTCAAGCTGCTGGAGGCGCAGTCTTCGCAGCACTGCTCCCCGTGCCGGCACGCGGTCTTTTACGACTTTTGCAGCCTACACCAGCGGTGCCGAGACTCGGGTGGTGAGCCACTCTTGGCAGGGGGCTCTGGATGGTACCCTTCGGAGGAGGCCCTGCATCGCAGGGCGCTCTGCCACATATCGGCCCTGTACTCACACCCGCAGACATGGGTCTTCCTGCTGAACACCAAAGCCTCGGCGGAGACCTTCCTCAGCCGCGGCTGGTGCTACTGCGAGGCGCTTTGGGCCATGAGCGGAAAGAGGCCGGGCATGGTCCTCGACATTAGCCGCGACTCTGGCGCCGCAGCCGACTGGTTTGATTTTGTGGATGAGTGCCGCACCCTGAGCTGCCGGGCGGCTCCCGTCACGCCGGATGTGTTTGCCGCTCAGCTCGAAGAGAAGTGCTTCTCCCACGGCGAGGTCCGCCTCGGCTTGTGCTTCGCGCGCCTTGCGGCTGTCACCCTCCCGATGACTCCGTCACCACTCCTTATAGGACCGGCCACTCGTCGCTCGGTTGTACCGCATCGGCTTCGAGGCTCGCTTTGCCGGTCTGACGCGCCTCGAGTACCACGGTCTGGGCTGGGGCGCCGCGGAGGCCAAGACCCTGGCCGCCACGCTCGCGTCGGGCGCCGCACCGCGGTTGCGCTTTCTCTCCCTAGACGGCAACGTCCTCGGTTGCGCGGGGACAGCCTCCATTGCCGAGGCGATGCCGTGGGTCCCGCTGCAGGAGCTCCGGCTCGGGGCCAACTGTATTCGCGATGATGGGGCCAAGGCGCTCGCTGCGGCGCTGCCGAAGGCTCTGTCACTCACGCGGCTCTACTTGGGCGCCAACGCCATTGGTGACGACGGGGCGATGACGCTCGCTGCTGCCCTGCTGCAAGCCGCGTCCCTCCAAGAGCTCTACATCGATCTCGACCTCGCTCACGCGCCGGGCGCGTTGGCGCTGCAAAGCGCGTGCACAGCACACGGCGTGTGTCTAAGGCGACGTTTGAGAGAGTAAGTGCCCGGGGCGGCCCATGGCTTACGGCGGGTGGCAGCGGCAGCGGAGAGAGTCATGTGCCCAACTCTGTGTCGATGAGTGTGTGTGCATGTGTCGAACATTGTGGGAGGTTCACGTCCATGTACCACCGCTTGAGCCGCGCGGCTCCTGACATGAAGGCGGCTCCCGTGGTGTACCTGCGCCTGAGTGTGTATGGCCAGTGAGCGCGCCAGCGGTCCGCCCATGTTGTTCTCGCGAGCGAATCTGAAATTCTTGTTCCGTGGCGATATTGCGGCGGCTGGCGGCGTCGAGATCCTCGTCGCGTTGGCGCTCGCAACCGGGGGAGAATGAGATGCAGACGACGCGCGCGGCGGGGGCGCTGTGGAACCTCGCTTACATTGACGGAGAGGGGCTCTGGCGGTGTGGTGCGCGGTCCTCTCCTCTCTCGCGCAGGAGACAAGTGCCTCGGACGACTGCAAGCTCGCTGCTGCCATGCCCTTGTGCACTTGGCTTCCACCCGCGCCGACCTCGCGGCTGACGACACTTGCCTCTTGCTGCTGCTGGAGCGTCTGGACCAGCCCGAGGAAGATGGCTGGCGCAAGGACAGCATCAACGCCCTCCTTGGACCTTGCCCTCGCAACCTCCTCGTCTGCGTGCGCTGATGAGCAGTGGCACCGGATCGGTGGCGTTGCGGCGCTGCAGGCGGTGGCGGAGGCGAGCTTGTCTGCTATATGTCAGCACATCTTTTTTTTTGCGTTCTGCTCATCAGCGCATGGTAGTAGCCTCAACCCCCAGCTCACCGCGGCGTGCCCACAAGCTCACCGCGCGGCGTGCCCACACAGCTCACCGCGAGCCCGCATACCTGCAGGTCTCGCCGTCAGCGGCGCTGCGCGCCTCCCAATGGGTATCGCTCGGCTTCTCGACAGGCATGCTATACTTTCCGACCAAGATGATGGAGGCGCGGGCGCGGGCTCGTAGTGGGAGCGCCCTCGCCATCCCGTAACTACCGCATCTCCGTCGCCTCCGCAGGCTTACAAGGCCGAGACGTTTGAGGGTGACGCGGCTACTCTATTCACTTTTGCGCTCGGCATCTTCGGGCTGCAGCTCTTTCTCAGCTCGATGATGGCCGCAGCCATGGCGCGGGACGCTGTGCCAAAGCACGTCCAGTCGCTCTCCTGCTTCTGCCAGGGCCTCGGCTGGCTCTTCTTCGCTCTCAACGACGGCGCCCTCTACGCGCGCGGCCTGTGGCCGCACGCGATGCCGCCCGAGTCGCTGCAGGTCAACCTCGGCATCTTTGTGGCCCTCGCGGCAATCTGCTTCTCCGGGTGGGCGGAGGGTGGGTACGAGGTGCCCGACATGGGCGTCCTCCCCGAAGGGCGGCCCGCGCTGCCGCTCGTCGTCGCGTGCGCCAACCTCCTCTTCTTTGGTGTCGGCTGCGCCTTCTTCACCGAAGCGTTTGTGGACCTGTTCCTGCCCGGCGTGCTGCAGTCGCTGCCCGCGCCGACCACGTCCGCCCGCGGCTTCTTCTCCACCAAGGAGGTGCCCGCCGGCCCTCTCGAGGGGGCGCCGCCCCTCCTCCTCCTCATCTTTGCCAACGCGGGCAAGGTGCCCACGTGATGCGCGTCTCCCCAATCTCCCCCAGCCTCCCTCTCTCCTCCACCGTCAGCTCTCTCCCTCCATCGCAACCGCTCGCTCGCTCGCTCGTATGAACGCCTCCTCTCCACCGGCACCGTCCCCTCCCCTCCCCTCCCCCCCCCCCCCTCTCCTGCCGCCGCCCAAAGTGCATCCTCGTCAACATTGCGAGCCTGCTCTCGATCGCATCCGTCGGAGACGAGACAGTGGCCTACCGCCTCCTGCGCGTCGTCTCGCTGGCAAACGTCTTCTACCTCGGCATGTTCTCGCGCGAGGGCGTGCTCGCCGTCGCCACCGGCTGGCCGTCCCCCATGCGCCTCTCCACCTTTGTGCAGTGCTTCGGCACCACGTACTATTGCTGCGCCTCCTTCGCGGGCATGCCCTTCACCCTCCTCCAGGAGGGCCGCAAGGCAAAGTGACGAGGCGGCGGCGAGGGGCCGCACCCTACTAGAGGGAGGCGAGGCGGCCCGAGGCCAGCGGGCCGTCCCGGCGGCGTATAACACGGGCGCCGAGTGGGCGGCTCGGGCGGGCGCCCCACGAGAGGCGAGCAGAGGCACGCGAACGGCGGCCCCGCGACCCGTGTCATGTGTCAACCCACGGCGCTCCTACCACCTCGGACGTGCGCATCTCGACACACACACACGTAGATCAATCCCATGCTCCATGCCGCATTGTCGATGGACGATGGTCGATGCGCACACACCTTGCACGTTGCTGCCCCGGGGGCCCAGTTTCGCTCGCGTGTTGTTGACACACGACTGCGTCTGCGCCACTCACATGTCGCACTGACCCCCACACCCCACTCTGTGTGCGGTACGTCCTGCCTGTGGAGAGTAATCTAATAAAACAATTGGACTTTGGAGAATTTAGACTCTCCACACTCCAGACTTCCACACATGAGTCATGACACATACACATACATGCAAAAGAAACGAACAAAGACTCTCTCTCGCTCGCGCCACCCCCCGAGCCCCGTGTACGCCGTAGCCGGGTACGGCCCGTACCCCGTCTCCTCTCTCGCTCGCAGAGCTGCCAGCTCGCCGACCCCGCAGCAGGCGCAGCATAGCCCCGCACCGCCGCACTACTCAACCCCCCCCCCCCCCCTTCATCAGAGAAACAGAAGAGTGATCGGGCTCACAGAGGGGGAGGTCGCCCGGCCGGGCGCCGGCCCCTCTCGAGAGCTATCTGGTAAAGCCCACCGAATCAGGCGCCCGTGAGCGCCGTGAGCGAACACCTCAGTCACCTGTCGCCGGCCTCTCAAGAGTCTTCTCCTGGCCGACCTCCCTTCACGCCTCTCGAGGACGGAGAGGAGCTGGCGCCGCGCAGATTGTCGCGGTCGTCGTCTTGGTGAAGCACTCAGCGTGTTCGAGGACGTTCGCCCTGGTGCCGAGGACGGCGGACGAGCAGGTGCGGCACCGCGAGTAGCCGCCGTTGAATCGCCAAAGTCGAATGCTGGGGGATGGGGGGGGGGGCCTCGGTGCACAGGCGGGAGGCAAAAATATGAGGAGGGGGGAGGGGGGAGGGGGGGGCGGGGGAAGGGGAGGGGAGGAGGAGAGGCGGGACGGGAGCCGACCCGTGCAGAAGCAGTCGTTCTCGCACTTGCCCATGCACGCCTCCTTGGACGCCTCCTTGGGGGGGCTCCGATCTCCATCTCTCCAGTACTCTCCAATCTCCAGCGTCGCTACATCTTGGGCCGGATCCAAACAGATCTCCGATCTCCATCTCCAATCTCCAATCTCCAACGTCGTCATCTTAGGCCGGATTCAGTCAGATCTCCGATCTCCATCTCCAATCTCCACTCTCCAATCTCGATTCGGGGGCCCGGGGGAGGAGGGGGGCTCAAACCTTCAAGGAGATGCGCTATGGATTCATTCACATGACCATCGTCTCTCTCTCCAATCTCCAATCTTCTACTTGGCCACTGTCGCCGCCGGCAGCAATCTACGACCTCCATTTTCAATCTTCGATCTCACATCTGGGGCGGATCATGGCTGGGCGCTAGGATCTACAATCTGCATTCTCCATCTCCTATCTCCACATTTTGGCCCGTGTTGCTGCTCAGCGATCTGCAATCCACAATCTCAATCTTCGATCTTTAGTCTTGAATGGGGAACCGGACAGGAGGGATCTACTGGCGAGATACTTGGGCCTTGGGCTAATGCCTCATGGGCGTGTCCGTGTGAGAGATCCGCTAGGTATGTATGTAACTGTAGAGAGAACTCGGTTTGGGGCAGCGCGAGTGGGAGAACTTTTCGGCGGTCGTGGAGGTCGTGGAGGTCGTTGAGTGGCGAGTCACGCTCGTGCGGACAGCATCGATGCCGTCGCCGGACGCGGCGGCGAGGCACACGGGCGCCGGCGTGGCGCGTCGGCAGGCCCACCACGAGCGGATGCGCGACGAGCGCGCTCGGGAAGCGGCCGCGGGCGAGGCGGAGCTCGACGCGGTCGAGATGGCGAGTAGGATCTCCAGTCTTAAACTTAATCTCCACTCCAGTCAAGTTGCTATTCTCCACGTCCACCCCAACGAAGAACGATCTACTGGTTTTGGGTAGAGATGTCCATTACTCGCGAAAGCTTGCAAACGACAACAGTCCCACTGTAATGAACAAAACCTGCTCTTTTCAACAGCTCCCCTTTCTGAAAGCTTTCTCCCGCCCCCACGACACTCGAGACAGCACCTACACGTACATGTACGACAGACAGCATCTCTCTCCACCTCCACCTGGCCTTCAACAGCCCCACCCGCAGCCCCCCGTGGCGAGGCCTCGCCCGGACCCCCTCGCTCCTCCAGGCCGCCGAAGAGAAGCTGGCGCGCACCTAGGGCAGGTCCAGGCACCCCGCCGTCCGATCGTAGCACACGGCGGCGTCGAGGATGCTCGCCTCGGTGCCGACGATAGAGGTGGACGAGCAGATCCGGCAACGGGCGCGGGAGGCGTCGAAGCCGTAGTCGAAGCCTGTAGGGGCGAAGAATGAGCTGTGAGAGGGGGGGAGGGCTGCACGGAGGGGAGCGAGCGCATGCGCGGCGGAGAGGGGGGTGGGGGGGTGGGGTGGGCGCACCAGTGCACTTGCAGTCCTGCACACAGGTTAGCACGCACTTCTCCTTGGAGACACCCCAGAGCTCGTCGCACATGTTTTCCTCAACAAAAGAGCAGACGCCGGCCGCGGGGCCAACCTCCACGAAGGATTTGGCGAGCAGCCGCCTCACAGATTTCTCCTTTGGCGGCGGGTGCGGCGGCGATGGCGGCGGCGACGGCGGCGGCGGAGAGGGCGGCGGCGGCGACGGCGGCGGAGAGGGGATCGGCGGCGGCGGGGCTGGCGGCGGGGGCGGCGGCGGGTACGGCGGCTGAGCGGGC